GCCAATCAGATTGTGACACATGTGATCTACATTTAAGTCACTTGAGTAAATCACATTTTTGATGATATCTCAGCTTTTTGTAATTGGATTTGGATGATCTCACCACCTTTAGGTTCGTATTGATAAGCTGATTCCAATGGTAGTAGTTTCATTTTGATTAGATCAATAGTTGTAAAGTTATACTTCAAATAGCTTCTTTTCTAATGTTAACAGTACCATTAGATTCCTCTCAGTAAGAGGAATCTAATGATACCAAAATTATTCAATTTGGATTACTGGATCAAAATATATAAGCAAAGCCTGTCAATTATATAGTAACTACATATAAAATCATATAGGCAATAGTTTTTTGCCAATATTTTTTGATCCAGTGATCCAAATTGAATAATTTGTTACCATTCATTGTAGACCACTGGATCATAAGATATTAATATTTTTATAAAAAAATTAGGTTATTTTCCTTCAACTCCTCTCTACCTTAGCAAAAAAATGTCAAAAAAATATTATTTTTGTAAAACCCCCTCCTCTCCTCTTATATAACATTATTTATGGATGCCTCCTAAGAGTAAATATTTAAGGGTTTTGTAGAAAAATTTGGGTTTGTTGTACTTTTTGCTGCTGTTGCCTGAAAGTGTACCTTTCTGGCTCTATCAGAAATAAAAAGCTACAACAAATTACAGCACAAGTATTAAGAATCTTTTAAACACAAGAACAATAAAACTAACTGCCATAAAAAGTAAATTATACAAAAAGCCACTTGCAACTAGTGATAACCTAGAAGCAAAAAAAAGTAAAGCAAAACATTTACAAATGTCACTTGATACCTTAAGAATAATTGCAAAAGCACTGCAACTAGAGAACAAAATAAATCTTATCGAGAGGATAACAATGCACTGCCCAAAGCAAAGAAACAGGCAAGAAGAAGAATTAACTCTACAAACCTAAACACAAACAGATGCAGTGAAGCTGAATGGTATATCTACAAATACACCTCAGGTTGATGACTTTGATCTTAAAAATATTTTTGAGAAAGAAACTAGAGAACAATCAAAAAGTAAAAAGAGCAAGGAAACATAGAAAGGTAGATTCAATAACAACTTCACCTTTCTCAAGTGATACAAAATAAGGGAGCATAAAAGAGTTCAGCAGGCACAAGTAAATGATTTAGATATAAAAGGCTTACTAAATGAAATAAAAGAATTGAGAAAAAATATAATTAATATAAATTCAAGGGTAAAAGAAACCTGAACAAAACAAAAATCAATAGAGAGTAGTCTAAAGAAATGTTTGAGAGATCAAAAGATCAATATGAATATAATTTCTTTGCTTTATAGGTAGAGATCTTGACTTGGGCATAAACTCTACTTTAATTGATAAAGCAGTAATCTATATCAAAACAGTAAAAAAGAAAGTGAAAGATCCAATGGTGCTACTAAAGGTGGTAAAAAAATATGGATGAGATGTGGTAGTAGAACTGTCTCAATTAATAAATAAGAAATTAACAAATTATATAGAAGAAATCAATAAGCATATCAAGCTGCTGCAGCTAAGAAAAAGCAAAAACTATATGATACTTTAGAGAAAAGACAATTTTTTTGTGCTCAACTTTACTATAATAATGCACCAGGCTCTAAAAAAAGAAACTACTATAAACAAACTAGAGGTTATAATCAGAACAGACTCTATAACTTAAAAAGCTATTACTATACAAAATTGCATAATCAGGAACAAGAGTCAAGAATTAATAACAAAAGATTCAGTACTACAACTATAATAGATTTGAACATCTTGCATTTAAATGCCTTTTATTAAAAAGCTACAAACTTTGCACTAATCTAATCACAACACATTCAAGAGGAGATGATACTAGAAGCAGCTGACTACACTCAGATAGCAGAGAAAATAATAACAAGGCAGCTAAACTACCCTTCATCAGTAAGGTATTGAAAAATAAAAATAAGTGCATCACTCTTAAGAATAGACTGCTAAATAATAGCATCTCTCTGTATCCAAGAGGTTTGCTTCTACTAGTGGTATAGCTAATACCAAAGCAGTACAAGATAGATATAGAACAAATAAACTGAATAAAGAAATAATTAAATATAATATTAAAAAATAAGATAATAAAATGCTTAGAAGTAGTGATAACAAAGCTATTAACACTTATAGAAGTGAGCTCTATCTTCATAAGATCAAAAATAGAGCCCAAAAAATAGCAGATAATTATCAACTTCAGAAGACTAAACAGTATATTACCAGACTGCTCTTCAGTTTTGAGAGACTAGTGACTTTTTTAAGATTAGTTAGCAGAAACTGGTAAATAATAATAATGGATCTAAAGGATAGGTACTATTACTTGTTAATAGATGAAAATATACAGAAGTTACTGGGGTTTCACTTCAATAAAAATTGGTATCATTATCAAGTTCTTCTATTTGGCTTAAACCAGGCTGTATAAATGTTTTTAAAGTAATACAAGCACTTATAGGCCACTAACACTTCCTTAGAATTTACTGCAAAAACCATGTAGATGACTTTTGAATTGCTTATCCATTAAAGGAAGTTCTATTACAACAAAAAGAGAAAGTTATTGAAGAAGATAGTTTAGTAAGACACAATACAAAAGGCTATTGGAAACCAACCCAAAAACCAAAATTTTATGGTATAATTCTAGATATGGTAAAAGGAGAAGTAAAAGTTTTAGAAGACAAACCAAAAAATAAAGAAATCATTAAGAACCCTATTAATGACCTCTAGACTAACAGTATATATGCTAGCCTTAATATCAGAGTTTATAATGAGTCTGAATTGAGCTTTTGCTCTGGCAAAGGTGCAGTGCTTAGAATTTTTTACAATTATAAACACAACAAACTGAAGAGTGCAAGATTGAGATAGCACTTTCTTAACAAATAAAGCAAGATACAAAATAGGTTCTAGAAAATCTAGAAAAGGGAAATAAAAGGCTTATCTAGAAACTCTCAAGAATTCTATTACTGTTGTTATAGAACAGTTTTATTTTATTAGTTTATCATTTTATCTTAGTATTATCTTATTATTTCAATATTTGTATTTTATTAGTTATTAGTTATTATTATATTTATCTTAGAGAAGAATTTAAAAGACATG